TTCATGACTGCTAAAAGAAAAGTCTCAGATTTCGCATTTCCCTCTCGTTTTACCTATATATTATACATGCAGGAAATATTATAATAACTAAACACTTACAGGTTGCCCTTGCATTACTGAAAGAGCGTGAGCTGGTATGCATGCTGTACTGTAACTAATTTCGACAGCTGTACGTTCTTCCAAATCGGGTGAATCGCATCGCCTACTCTGGCGGTAGCGGTAGGAGGTTAAACTTGTTTAAGTTCCCAGCTGCCATTCAAAAGGACATTTCCAACGAAGAATGTTGTTAGATATATTGCTGGACGAATTGCAGCTTGGCGGCCAGATGTTAGTTTTGGAAGGTTTCCGGTTCTGTGTTTGTTTAGAAGTAACGGGGCGGGGCTTTGGAAAAGCACCACAATAGCATACGGCTGTTTATTGAAAGAGAGATTTACAAAATTCTCTTTACTTTGAACTCGCTACTATGACATGCAATCAGCAGATCAGCAAACATGTGTGTTACGTTGATAACAGTGGCTGAGCTGCTGTTCTTCGACTTTGACAAAATGAATAATCTTGTTGTTGATTTGCCCTCAGGTCTTTCGTCTGACTTTGAAAAGCTCTATGAAAGTGGCAAATATACGGATGTTTCGATTCACGTTGGAAAGGAGCCAAACAGCAAATTATTTTTCGCTCACGCTTCGGTATTATGTGCAAGAAGCACATTTCTCGAGACAAATCTAACGGAAACATCTGAAAGCATTCAAAAGGCAGTTGTAACGTTCGAAGATGTAACACCTGACGTTTTCGAAGTCTTGCTAAGGTATGCGTAAAACAGTGTATTGTCAACAGTTTCTCAGAAGGATGTGTATGCTCTAATACTTACTATTACTGCCAACACAACATAAAATCGTTGTACAGGTATATTTACACTGGGCGAATATCTTACGATTCATGCAGGGATATTAACTGGATTAGCCTTTTGAATGGGGCTAACATGCTTGAGCTGCGTGATCTTCTCGCTGTGATTGAAAAATATTTGATCAATACGCAGACTGAATGGATCCAGCAAAATATTCTTACAGTTCACAAATACACTCAATCCGCAGGTTTCGCAAAAAGCCTACTGTCCTACTGCGATCGAATTATAACTTCAAATCCGGGAATAATTTTTAAATCAAAGGATATTGCACAGTTGCCCAAAGAAACCTTGATTTCCCTTCTCAAGAATCCTGACCTTGATATGAATGATGATGACATCTGGATGTCAGTTGTGCAATGGGCTGTTGGACAATCTCCTGGACTCGAAAACGATCCAGATAATTGGTCATCTGATGACATTAACACACTGAAAGATACCATTGCTGATTGCATTTCTCACATAAAGTTTTTTAATATTTCCCTTAAGTTTATCGCCCTGTATGACGACTTATTACCAAGGAAACTGCGCCGGAATATACTGAATTATCATGGGGAAAGGAACTACAAACCAAACACACCACTGCCTATACCAGCAGAGAAGCATATTGATTCACTCATAATTAATGAACGACAAGCAGAATGGATTTCATCAAAGATTGTGGAATCAACAGAGCGACTTCAAGTAAATCAAGGGACATCTGAGAAGCAAAGAAACCTCAGATATAAATTTAATCTACTTTATAGACAAAGTAGAGATGGTGATGTGGTGGCAAAATTTAGAGAGTTGTGTAATAAAAAAGGACCTACAATTGCCATTGGGAAAGTAGCAGACACTGAAGAAATACTTGGTGGATACAATCCAGTTTCATGGGGTCTCAAAGAAAATTATGTTATTGAGACTAAAGAAAGTTTTATATTTGCGTTAAATAAAGATAGTTGGGAGGAGAGTATAGTAAGTTTTGTTGTTAATGCTCAACGTGCCATTTGGGATAATAAGGAACGTTTTCCTGTTTTTGGGGCTTGGACAGGAGGCACTTTGATTAACCGTGATTTAGATTTTGGTGATGGTAAAAGAATCAGGCCTCGTGCTAGTAAAAATGCATACCAAGTTTCAATAAGGCATTCAGAAGATGGCTTCAAGTGGACTGACTGGGAGGTGTTTTCTGTTTCAACATTTTGAGTTAATCTTGATTAGTTTATAATCATATTTCTTATGCTGTTGAATTCTTATCCTGATTGAAGCAATGCCTTTTAATTTATATGTCAGCAAAGTTATTCAGTATTTTTGCAAATAAATTAGCATTTGAATAACAAAGTTGTAAAAAATTTATGTTGTATGCATTGGTTGGCAACGTCTATGAATGTTCTTCTATCACTGTAGCAAGTCAGCAGAAAAATTGTGGTATACAGAGATTCTATCGCAGATATTAATATCTCCACAAAGCTCTCTATCTCGATACGTCAGTCGCATTTTTTGTTCACAGTATTTTTGATGTACATCCAATTGTAGTCATTGAGTGGCGATTCGCGGCATTGCCGGAAGTAGTTTCTGTTATTCTCATATAAGGAATGTTTAGCCTAACTGCAAATACTTATTATTATTTTAGTCTTATTTATTATTGTTTAAAAGCTAACACCGTTGAAAATAATTATTTATAATCAAAATTTAACCAATAATATTATTCTAGTTTTGTGTAAAATTCGCGTTTTTTGACAGTTGGGGTTACGCTATTATACAATAGTAGGAATTTAGCCTTTGTACTGAGCTTTGCTTGGCAATTTCTACTTCGGTCGACAAGTTGGTAACCTTTAAACTAAACTTACAAGTTGTTAACGTTAAACCATGACTACGTTGAATAATTAATGTTCTTACTTGTGGACACAGGATTATAACGCCAAGCAAAAAGCAAGTCGGTGGGTAAGAGCACTATAATAAACATGTTGATGGTACCAGTTGAATAAATTACGCTTTTATTAAACTACTCTACTATTGATTACAAACATTAACTATCAAATTATTAAAACGTGTATTGATTGTAAGACATGTTGCAGACAATTCTAAGACTATAGCATTTTGCAGTCGAATTTTGAAAAGTAAGTAATTTACAGTACATAACGTTGGGCAGTTGTTTACAACGGTTTGGCCAAATGTTAGACACCAGTAAAACACATTACCTCGTTACATTGACATAGAGTCTGGTTATTTATCGATAGTAATTTTTACTTTAAAGCGCAACTCTAATAACACAAGATCGAGAGAGTCGAGAGTCGAGCGTATTGAAGCTTTAGAATAACGTCAGGATCTTCATAAGAAAATATTATGAAATGGGAATTTTTATTTTTATTTAGATATACTAGCATGAACTATTACAGTTTTCAAAATCTAGAATCATACAAATTAGGTCACAATTATTTTATACTTTGAAACTTATGCTTGAAATTAGTTACTGAAAGTTTTTAGGAAAAGGGCAGCTTTACTTAGCCTAAGTCTCAGTCTTGCTTAGTACCGGAAAACGAAAGCGGAAATGAGCAATTGTGAGAATTACGTAGACAAATACACACATGTTATTATGACTAAATAAATTTCTAATGAACAGACGGTCTGTTCATCAGCAAATGTCAAAAAATCTTGGTGAAGATGAATAATATATATTCACTATGATAGTTACATATAAGAAATCTTTAAACAATTCTTGGCAGCTTTGAAATTTTATTAATCTTATAGAACTAGCCCTTTTGTTATCAGTTTGAGCATGCGGATAAAGCTGTAACGCTCCCGCAATACAAACTTTACAAATATGACAAGTTTCAACTTTGCAACAACCAACATACAATTATGGTTATGGAACGTTAAGAGTGAGAATTCATGGTGTAGAGCAGTCACAATTTTTTTTCACATATACTTGTCTCAAATGGATTGTAGACAAAATAAGCGTTTTAGAATTTCTACACGGAGTAGATAGTGAAAAATAGACGAGCATAAAATTTGTTATAATTATAATATCACTACGATCTCATATTCTTAATATCGTGTTAAACATTATTCTGTCTGCTGCTTTCAAAAATAATGTCACAACAATTACACAGCTTACTAATTTGATTGGCTAAAACTAACTTCTGTAGATAAAACTAAACAATAAACTAATGGAAAATGACGAAAAATATACGCCAAAGTTTAGAAACCTTTATCATATGCATCCGAAAATATTACCAAATTATCACATGATATTAAATTAACTAATTTTATTGGACAATTTTTTCGTTACACTGCATCTCTGAAATTGAAACATTGTCTAGTAGAGTTGGTGCACCATATTTGCTTCTTAATGACGCTTGCTAATTGTTAGAATTAACGGTTTCCTTTATTGCATAATATGTACATTAGGGAGAACTTCTTGTCTCATGTTTATTTGTAAAATGTGTTAAATGCGTAATGTAGAGTTAGCTTTTATGATATCTATAAATGAGCTTTATCGTATTATTACGTTAATGTTTATGTGTAGTTTACTACAAATAGTGTAATTAACATAATTTAAAGATCCTCACCGCTTATTATTTGTCTCGTGCTTCGCCGTCCACCAATGATATCTGCTTGTGTAGATTTTTCGTTTTATTTAAATTCATCTGTTATCAGAAAAGATCACCACAAAAAACGGCCTTTAAATTTTAATAGTATTGTACTTATAATAGCTTATAGCTTATTACTAATGCCTAGGCTTATGCACAATCTTCAAAATAGTTGATTCCGTGAGTAAAAGTTGTATTAGTTAAACGGTACTACAAGTTAATGCAGACCTGTTCGGCAATAGCCAATGGATACCAACCAAATCTGTTAGGTGCAATGGGTTTCCTAAATGGCCATGAGATTATTATAAGATTAGACCTTTCAACATTATAAAATATTTTATTTGAGAAACTATACCGTTATAAAAACGATGGCATAATAACATGCTGGACTGTATCAACCAGGAATTACCAACTGACCGCCTAACAATTATAGAGACAATGAAACATTCAATTTTCTTTCTATTCTTTCTGTTGGTTACAACTTCAGTAATTAACGCTACACCGCATGGATTAAGTAAACGAGCTACTCAATTTTATTCATGTACCGACCTGCCTCTCAGCGTATCACCTGATCCTCCTGTTTCTGACAACGCCACTATCTTTAATATTTCCAGAACTGCGCCAATTGATTTAGCACGGACACGGCTGTCGTTGAAATAAATTTTATCAATTATGCCAAATCCTTTAGCGAGGTCTTCGTTGACGATTTCTGTAGACTCTCTGACTCATGTCCGGTCGATCAAAATACTACGGTTAACTTGCAAGACACAGTTAATCTAACATCTTTGCCAGATAATTATTATATTTATGGTACAATATATAATGTAACCAATCTGTTTATGTGCGCCGCCATGGTCGTTATCTGAGCCATCATCTTTGTTGATTCGTTTTGCTTAACTTTTTTTACCTCATATATACTGGTATTTATGTAAATTTTAGTTAATGCTTCAATGTTGATGGGAATATTTTACATTTCTGAGAAATAGCATAAGCTAATTGCAGTACGTTTTATTAGTAACATTTTTGAAAAAACTTTCCAACTGTTCTTATATATTACTCAATACGATATATTATTATTATCGAAATAATGTAATACACATACTATGATAATTATTCACAAATTATTAAGTGTATTTGATTTTTTCTCGAAATCATAAAAGCCTATCCCGAACTCAATTTCTGATGCATTATGCTCTATCGATACACATCTTCAGAATAACATTATTATAACATCAGCAAAGCTTACATATTAGCATTATATTTGTCTAGTCTCTCCTTAATCGATTTTTAAATCCTTCGGCGTATTCCAACGATTATTCCTAATTTTTCTGAATGATTTCAGAAACTTTGCTTATTTACGCGGCGCATTAATATTTCGCAATTTCTCTACGAAAGCGAGAGAGCAAAACCCTCCAATAATTTTACTTAAAGTTGACTTTAGCTAACTAATTACTTCGTTAGGATTACTTGGTTTCAGAAACCGCGATTAGGGAATACGTTTTTATTTCTCAATCGTTTAATAATTACGCTGTCTTTGCCAAGAAATATTAATAATAAAAAACGAATAATTATCTTTTCGCACGGTTCTATTAAATATAAAAACTATGCTAAGCAAGAAATAATTGTCATCTACTGAAGATGCTGTCTGCTATATAGTCTAAGCTACTCTTTTATAACTATTCACGTTGTACTAGCAACACGGTTTCTGGAAATCGTACAATTACAGATGGCTAAATTTAGCATAAATCAATATATCGCAACACGCATTTTCTTGTCATTGTCACAGCAGTTTAACCTCCTTTTCTCCCCGTAATCCAGCCTGCTGAGCTTGCTCGCTGTATTTTGGAAAGAGTTGTCGATAATATACTTGGTTGACTGCTCGCATATACCAAAAGCGACGTTGAATTCGCAAATAATTGGTAAAAGAAGTTTGCCGCCTTGAACTGCTATGTATGAAACTTGCTGCCATTATAAAAGTACATCTGGAATTAAAAGTGGAGAAATTCATTGATAGTACTTTTAGTATTTGGGGTATTGCCATTGTCTCAGATCGATAAAATTTTGTTGATAATTGTGCGTTTTCTGTTGACTCCATCGCGGCCGACTGTACTCCCCCAACAGATACTATAATACTATACGCTTACCGGTTGAGCTAGCATGTGGAATACGGGGCTGTACTTCGACATCTGCCAAATTTAAACTTGAAATCGCATCGCCTACTTTAGCGGTATATTTACTTCGCCAGGTTACATTTACCAAACAACAAGCGGGTACGAATAATGAGCGGACGTCCATTGTTCAAAATCGAGAGGTGTTATTGGATATGTCGGCGTCTGTGAAACAAGGAGACGAAAGACAATAGGTTTAAATAATGCAATCAGCATACAGCGTGCAACATTGATAACAGCACTATAATGTTACACACTTGATGAGCTGTTTCTTCAACTTTGACGAAATGAATAACGTTGTTGATTTACCCTCAAGCCTTTCATCTGACTTTGAGAAGCTTTATAAAAGTGGCAAATATACGGATGTTTCGATTCATGTTGGAAAGAAGCCACACAGCAAATTATTTTTCGCTCACGCTTCGGTATTATGTGCAAGGAGCACATTTCTCGAGAGAAGTCTAACGAAAACGTCTAAAAGCCTTCAAATGACAGCTATAACGTTCGAAGATGTGACACCTGACGTTTTCAAAGTCTTGCTAAGGTAATCTTTTATATGCGTAAAAAAGTGTATTGTCAACAGTTTCTCAGAAGGATGTGTATGTTCCAATACTTACTGCCAACATAATCGTTGTACAGGTATATTTACACTGGGCGAATATCTTACGATTCATGCAAGAATATCAGCTGGATTAGCCTTTTAAATGGGGCTAACATGTTCAAGCTGCATGATCTTTTCGCTGCAATTGAAAAATATCTGATCAATACGCAGACGGAATGGATTCAGCAAAATATTCTTACAGTTCACAAGTATGCTCAATCAGCAGGTTCCGCGAAAAGCCTATTGTCCTATTGCAATCGGATTATGACTTCACACCCAGAAATAGTTTTTAAATCAAAAAATATTGCACACTTACCCAAAGCAACCTTGATTACCCTTCTCAAGTACCCTGACCTTAATATGAATGATGATGACATCTGGACGTCAGTTGTACAATGGGCTGTTAAACAATCTCCCGGTCTCGAAGACAATCCTAATAATTGGTCGTCTAATGATATTAACACAGTGAAAGATACTATTGCTGACTGCATTCCTTACATAAAGTTTTTTAACATTTCTCTCAAGTCCATTGCCCCGTACAATGACTTATTACCAAGGAAATTGCGCCGTGATATAATGGATTATCATGCTGAAAGAAATCATAAACCCAACGCACCATTACCAGCTGAGAAATGTAAGAAAGCAAATTCCTATTCCCCCCAAAAAAAAGAATGCAAATCTCCAGCTGAGAAATGTATTGATTCACTCATAATTAATGAACAACTGATGGAATGGATCTCATCAAAAATTGTGGAATCAACAGGGCAACTTCAAGCAAATCAAAGAATATCTGAAAAACAAAAAAATCTCGGATATAAATTTCATCTACTTTATAGACAAAGTAGAGATGGTAATGTGGTGGCAAAGTTTAGGGAATTATGTAATAACAAAGGACCTACAATTGCTGTTGGGAAGGTATCAGGCACTGGAGAAATACTTGGTGGATACAATCCAATTTCATGGGGTCTCAATGAAAATTATCGTATTAACACTAAAGAAAGTTTTATATTTACATTAAATAAAGATAATGTGGAAAAGAGTATAGTGAGTTTTGTTGTTAAGACTGAACTTGCCATTTGGGATGACGAGGAATATTTTCCTATGTTTGGAATGGCAAAAGATTTATTTTTTGGTAATGGAACAAGTACCGATCCTTATGCTGAAAAACTGGCATACGAGGTTCCAATAAGGCGTTCATTTGGTTACTTTAAGTGGGCTGACTGGGAGGTGTTTTCTGTTTCAGACTCTTGATTTAATTTGATTGTTTTATGAATATTTTCTTATGCAGTTGAAATTCGCATTTGTTAAAGCAATGCTATTTATTATGTTTTTAATTTCATGTCAACAACGTTATTTCAGAATTTTTTTGTATTTGAATAATAATAATAAAAAGTCATAAAAGCTTATGTCTGTTGGCATCATTTATTCATTTTGACTGACTGTCAATTGCTCCTCTATATAGTTCTATTAGGCGTTGCGGAGTTTATTTAGCGAATCGGTAATTGGTGTCAGGATCGAATCGTAAAGAAGTTGCTAGACAACGCAAAGTATTGTGAGAATAAGAAATTTCGTCTGGGAAGAAGTCCAGTTTGTCTCAGTTTGTAGTCAGTACCATATTAGCTAGAGAACTTATATGGCTTTAGATTTAATTGCAATGATATCAAGTTTAGCCTTATTATTTTTCATAAGACTTACTGTATACTGCTGGGACCATCATCATAAGGGGCCCTTATTAAATATTTTGGTAACGGTGGATATACAGTATGTCTTACGCTTACATATTAACGTTAATTACCCACACTGCATCAAAGGTAAAAAGTGGCTATAATAATTTCGAATAAGATATTATAAGTTCCTACAAAGCTTATCACTCGTATGTTCCGTCAACTGTATAGAACACGATATACAAACCTATATATGGGAAATGTGTCTGTCGACATTTTATAAAATTTTGTTAAAGAAATTAAATAAATTTCAGAACACTAAGATTGCGCGTTTTGCTAGTAAACGGTTTATTTAAATAAATCAGAAGATGGGTATATTGTTTATAAACAAGAAATAAAAACGCTAAAACTTAAATAAGCAATACGCAACGTGTTACAATTTTGGCTCAGCATGGGCGGTTATTCGATCTTTCTTCAAAGTACTCAGTTTTATTTATATTAATGTTATTAATGTTAATTATCTCAGCCCTTGATTACAACAAAACTTTTATGTATCAAAAAACCGTTTTGCAAACAATCTTTTATTTATCGGGAATCGCTCAGTTTTATCTTGACATTCAAATGGCAAAAAAAAAGCGTTTTTTCGAAAAAAGATTAAAATCAAAAAAAAAAAAATAATGGTTCGATCAAGGCGTTCTTCTTTAGTACTCATGTTTGAAGTAAAGTGTTTGTAGCAAGATGTGCTGCATAAAATTTGTAATAACAATTTTAAAATTAAAAATAAAAAACAAACAAACAAACAAAACAAAACAAAACAAAACAAAACAAAACAAAACAAAACAAAACAAAACAAAACAAAACAAAACAAAACAAAAAACAAAACAAAACAAAAAACAAAACAAAACAAAGCAAACAACATGACTATTTCACAATATGCACTAACAACAAAAAGTTACACCTCAGATCTCAGGGGGCCCTTAACCGGTACCCCGTAATCCCCAAAGGGGCAATAGCTGCAGGCTATTTTGTGATCCTCAGATCGAAATATCACTATATATGGTTTTTTTGCAGATCACTTTATAAGACAAGATAGTTTGGTAGTGAGAGTTTTTTTTACAACAGTGCAGTGACCTATAAAGAGGCAAATTATTATATTGCGAAAGGACTTAACGATTACGATACAGTTATATACAACGAAACGATTCAACATTCGTCATTGAACCATCGAAAAGTAACTCGCTACGACTGTTAATGTTCCTCATCAATCGTCAGGAGTGTTGATAATTATTACTTGCTCGATAATTCACTGAACGGAGAGTTGAGTCTGATGTCGTCTAAAAATATCGCTTAGCTTATGACAGCGTTACAACTCGTATACTTGTATTCTGTTGCATGCAGAATAAAATTCGATATAACTCGCGGAATTAAGCTTCTCTAAATCTTAGAAGAATATGTTTCGTTTAGGCATGTCTTACATAAATGGTTGATATATAATACTTAGTATTAGTAAAAATTTCGTTCAGCAATAAAGTCCGTATAAGGCAAAAATCTGTTGTTATTATTATTATATTATGAAACGTTTATCTAACCATTATGGTTATAGATCGACCAAAAAGTTGCTATATATGCTTAAATATCGACTTAAAGGTCGGGTCGCTTATAAATAAATTTATTTTCGGACTTGTAACTCCGTTACGCCAGATACTATTTTTTCTGAGAATAGCGACAACTGACAAATGATTGGTCAGACTTGTGAAAGTAATAAGCCTATAAATATGCTTCCATCTACTTTAAACCTCAAAGTTTGAAATGGATATTAAACGATGCTGCATGTTTTTCTCACTCATCTCAATCGCAACAGCATCTATTGTCGATAACTCTTATTCGTCGAACCAAGATTTATATGACGCATTTCTTACCACGCTCTTCCCAGTCACCTTTGTCGTGCTGTTAAATATCTCTGGGAAGCCTGGGTTGATTAAAAGTACGCTGTTACCATTAATGGACGATGTATTGTACAATACGGTTACTTGGGTCATTCATTAACGGTGTCATTTGCGTATAACGATTCGAAGGCTATAAAAATATTTTCAATTGTCAACATGTGTTTGCATATAACTTGTGCATTGACTGCATTAATCAGATGGAAGCGAATTAGTGATGTCAGTCTTGATAACGATGACGATGTACATATTGGCGCATACTTCTTTTTAATATTTTTCCCCGTTTTTGTAATTCCCATATTTTGGATTGCTTATTTAGTGACCAATCATATGATTGCTTTTATTAACTTATTATTTATTGTTTTGTTTGGAATCTTGTTGGCTTTAGAACTTACCTTCCTTGCATTTGGTTGCATAATGAAAGGTTGACTAGGATGCCTGATATAATATTTGTTATATTTTTAGTAACCTGCTTTTATATTCCAAACATTTTGCAGACATTATTAATTTTGTTAATTTGGCCAATTAATTTTTACTTTGTAAAAACATGCGTTTTTGTTTTAAGTACTGTCTTTAACTAGAAATATATCTTATTTTACTGATGAAATACCCGGGGATTTTTTGGCAACTTCAACAGCATACGTTCAATGGTTAATTCGCGAGGGTATAGATAATATGAGGAAAGTTGATAAAACAATAAATGTGGATCTAGTATAAGTACATTAATCGGAATGTTGTCACAAAGTTTTCGATACGTGTTATTTGTAGCGATAAAATTCTAAACTACAGTATATCGTATAATGACACTAAGTTTGATATATTATATCTCAAAGCTTTTCCGTACGGCGTTCTCCAAATATTATGTATATAACTTATATCAAATATATAATGTAGGATATTAGCATAAGTGTAATGCGTTAGGCTATACATTACTGTTACTATACAAAAAATGTGCATATCGAATAAAAACAAAAACATATAGCATAATTTACACTTTGCGAAGAGGCAGTAGGACGCTAAATTCTATAAACATCATTGATACAATGTAAACTGAACACGTCACTTTATTACATAATGCTTTGTTCACCAACACATGCTTTTCGTTCCAATACCACAAATTTTCCCCAAGAACTGGGAATATTTTTTCTCATTTAATTTCTGTAAAAACCAGCTTTTTAAAATTAACTTTTCGTTCAGTCACCAAAATGTCTATTCCATTGTACCCGTTATCCCACTACGAATACTGTATGTTGATGCAATGCGCGTCTAAACACATATCTATAACGGCCACATACTAAAATATTGAGTATGAATGACTGAATATGCCGATAACGTAATAAAAATTTGCTTGTATGTTTCGAACGAATAAAATATCATTGTTGATTTGCCCCTTCCAATTTATTCGAAATAACAGTTGGGAATTGACTCGAAAAGTTGAGCTAACGTTTTATTTTGCTAAACGGAGCTAGCCTGTCAGCAGTGGTTTTACTTGCGTAAGTATGACGTAATGATAAATCAACGGTAGATCAGCGTGGGAACAGTAGTCTTATTACGTATAATACTTGTCCGCAGACTATTCGACTAAAAAAGTATAGCGGCAAAGACCTTTAGCCGATCAAAGATAAACCACATGATAAAGATACACCTCTGTCTTCAAACTTTGACGAAATAAATAGCGTTGCGTTGTTGATTTGCCCTCAGATATTTCGTCAGATTTTGAAAAACTTTAGGACCCAAACAGTAAAATATTTTGCGCTCACGCTTCGGTATCATGTGCAAGGAGCACAATTCTCGAGAAAAGTCTAACAGAAACATCTGAAGGCATTCAAAAGACGTTCAAAAATGTGACGCTTGACCAGTCTTGCTTAGTAACCCCTTCATAAGTGTAACACGCACTATGTGCATACTTCAAAAATACTATCATTACTTATAACGGATATACAGGTTTATTTATCCTATAATTTATGTAAGGATATCAACTGAATTAACCTTTTATCTGACATACTTGAGTTGTATGATCTTCTCGTTGTAATCGAAAAATATTTGATCAGCACACGCAGACGGAATGGATTCAGTAAAATATCTTTACAGTCCTCAACTGCGGGTTTCTCAAAAAGCTTATTGTCCTACTGCAACCAAATTATGACTTCACACCCGAACATAATTTTTAAATCGAAGGATATTGCAGACTTACCCAAAGAAACTTTGATCAGCCTTTTCAAGAACCCTGATCTTGATATGAATGATGATGATGTCTGGATGTCAGTTGTCCCATCGGGTTGTTAAACAACTTTCCAGTTCTAGATAAATTATCTGTTCTTCCGTTAATATTGACTTAATGTAATTAACGTCACATCATAAGGATAAGGGCTGAAACTGTACCAACTGAGCCGGTACGCAGTACAGAATTTGAAACGGTACAGCACAGAATTTCAAAATACCGCACATACGCCTTTAACTCTTCAAAGTATTTGTAATAATTGGGGCTTTCTCCGATGGCTTCTTTGACATATACTGTACTTGTTCGGCCTCTCGCCACGGATGTTTGTCAACAACGACATCATTTTTCAGAGCTCTACGCGCACACTATACTTTTTTGATGCTTTGCATTCTTTGCGGTAGCCGGCAGCAAGTGAGACACATACTGAATTTTTTCTGAATTGAAACTTAAGTTGGAGTTATAAAGCTTACTTTATATTAAACGAGAAGACGAAAGGTGTATATAACTTTGGTTTGGTTTCATACAGTGATATTGTTGAAAGTTTACAGCATTTTGCTGTTCGAGAAAAAAGAAAGATTTGCATGTCGATACGGTGTACTAACAAGAGCGCCAAAGCAGATAATGCGGGCAGATGAAAAGTTAAATTACAGAATTAAATTACCAGACGTCTCTGCTCTTAGTATTAGTTAATTATCAGCTTTTCTTCATTTATGGCACTACTAGTAGACTCGTGGCTGCATGTTATTGAGCATTATACAAAACAGTAACTAACACGGTGGAGAGCGTTGTTCACAAACACAAAGCAGTAACTTCAGAACGAATTTTATTTTGGTATTTGTTGATATTCGTTACTAGTCTATCGAGCTGAACCGTTATCAAGTTTTTGGCCCAAATTTGGATGAATGACAAAATTGATATTCTGATCGTTAATGATTGGAATTATCAATGTTCTGGTAGTTAATGGGCGTACATGTACTGGTATGAATTGAACGTTCGACTTTTTGTCTCACTTTTCATTGAATGCACTTCTATCAGACATGTGTATAAATTGCGACACTTTCTGCTGCTCTTATATTCTAGCCCAGTGATGATGCAACGTGAGTACGTGTATACAGACAGACTGGTTCTAATTTAGCATTGAATAATGTTTTTAACACAGTTGAATTACAATACTATGAGTTGATTGCAACGACATAATAAAGTTTGTTTCTGACATGTTAGATAATTTCGTAGATAGCTATTATCCTTAAACAGAATGTTACCTGGTGAGCTAATAATATATTTATTGTTTGCAAATAGGACAGTAAATTTTGAAAAAAGCATCCATCATAACATGAACAGAAACTATATATTCCTCATTTTAAACTTGGGCAACTATTTGCTATTTCCGCTAAAATAAAGATATAGAATAAGAGCTAATTTATGAATAAATTTGAATATACATCAAATTCTGATTTAACCAACATTGCTACTGCTGCCCGCACTGCTGCCATTGTTGCCATCACTGCTAGCACTGGTGTTAGATACAGCTTAAAACAGTTGTTACTGGTACAACTCCAAGTAATTGCTCGGGAGTGGGAGGAGTCGTTTTAGTCTCATTTACAACAAAGCAGCATTGATTTGCGATGGCGCTGATTGGCAGTTTTTTCGATGTGAGGATTGGCGTATCAAAACCTTGAGAGTCCAAGTCAATGACGGCATGGGGGTCTCCTGGCGTCCTGTTAGTGGCTGTTCTGCAATTACCTACGTGAATATCGAAATTATTGCCAGCTGGTCCGCTTGGTGCATTCAGAACATTAAGCCAGCCAACGATTTGTAAAGTGTCTACAGGCGATTGCATAAACGTAAGGGATCCGTTAAACGTGTTGCCAGCGAATCCGGGCACTTGCAAAGGATTATCGCCTGCTTTAAAAACACAATTGGAAATGGGGCAACATGGTGGTTTGGTATTTCTTTTTTCAAGAGGTATGGCATTAGCTGACGTGTAGTCGAAGACCAAGGCGACTAAGAGGATAAGCAAATAAACAGATTTCATCTTGGATTAAAATTGTTCTTCTTTGAATGTTTTGTAAGCTTGTCGGTTTTGACTGTTCGCTGAGGTGGGAAATGCCACGAACATATGCGATTTTATAGTTTTCGAAAACATAACTTCACTAAGTTGGCGTATTCTCATCAGAATAAGGCGTTCTTCAAATTTGTTTAGGTTTTAATAAATGAGATAATCGCTTTGTCATAAAACAAACAATCTAATGTAAAATAGACGAGGCGTTCTCAAAGAAATGATTGTTCGAAAGATAATTTATTTAATTGTTCTCGTAAACTTTTAATTAATGATGTCATTCATTAAATTTAACTTATTCTTACAGAGTCAATGTTAAAGGTGTTTATATCGTAAATAACACTCAAGCCTATTCAAAGCTCCAAATAATGTATTGCAATAATTCCAACATGACATCATTTTGACCCTCTTTTTGCATCATAATCGCCGACCCTAGTCGGCAACAATTCAATTCAGATTATTATTGTAAACATTTTTGTTAAAAGTTTGAGTAACGCTTATCTTTTTTTTCCCGCAACAGTGAGTATATAAAAACAAATTTTTGCAAAAAATTTTGACCAACAACGTCAATGTTAATGACAAACAATAGACTATTAAACTTATTATCTGATTTATTTATTCAAAGCGTTAGAAGTTGTATGATATTATTATAGTTAAACAATAATTTTAATACTGTACTCGTATCAAAATTACTCGGACAACTATTAACTAAACAGAAAAACAGTTTGAATCGGTGACAGTTTGCATTAAATTGAACTCAAAAGTCGAAACATAAAACAATGGTAAGTACTTGGCTAGGGTCACGAGATTTTTTTAAACACTTTCAGGGATGAGGCTTAAAAGTGGGCGCTGACCCGCATAAATTTCCTGATCTCTTTTTTAGACAATACATCTTCTAAAGACTGTATTGCAAGCCGAAACGGGAAGCCAAGAAAAATTAAGCTTGAATGGTTCCTGATTCAAAGCATGCAAACAAATACTCCTGACATAGACACTCAATAATTGCGTGACACTAAATGACTAATACAGTAAATGAATTGTCAGAAACATGCACTTGTGTAATAATTAAAATACGTTAACCAGTAGGTGGCGTTCTTGGAAATGACGTTATAAAAATGATAACCTGTTTACGAATACTTATCCATATTGGAATGTTTTCTTGCTGTAAATTGCTCTTATGTAACGATTAAAATCTTTTGTAATCTAATAACCCCTTTTTACGCAATTAAATATTACTTAAATTACATAACTAGTCCGTATAAGTCTTCATTTTGTAAGCATCGCATCGTGTGTAACAATTGTTAATTCTTGTTAAGTGTTATTAATACTTACGAGATAATATGGTTGTACAGAAACAATTGCTTTGTGTAACGAGATAGTTGAAAGCTAACAATCGATACACGGTAACTCCATTTGCAACTTAAATTTAGGTTAGATTAGTATTGAGAAACGATTTCCCGAACGGTTGACTTATTTGGGTTGCCTGATCGACCATACACCGCATTCGTGATTTCGGGCAATTTGCATCCGTTCAAGTATCGGGAGTGAGGGTATGTTCAATGTGAGTTCCGTTCGTCGAGTCAGAGACGGTGATGCCCGGCTTTTTTGCTTTTCGCCCCCGAATGCTTAAAACTATTTGTTTCAGCAGACGGGTGATTGATACGGCCATTGCTTTTAGAAAGAAAGCAATGATATTCATCGATTATGGTTCGGTAGAAATGGCGATGGACCACGAGCAGATGATGATATACCAAAGAATGCCAAACTATTGAAAATGATTTTAACCCAAGACAAGATAGATGTTACGATTTTGTTAGCATTGTTCTGACTTTTCACCCGAGATCAGGAATGGACCAAATCAAACATTCTTCGCCACAATGGATATGGACGGAGCCAGTGCTTGATATAACATGCCCAAATCTTAGCTCTTGCAGGCAATGTTCGGAATATTTTTCATCTAGGAAGCTTGATTAGGACTTTTGTCGGCAGCCTAGTTATGGCATCCATCAACGGTCTCGAACGCCATTACCAGGCGGTCACGGTACGGTGAAGACATATGTAAGAATGATTTGGATACGACAAGATGCCAACCGGGACAGTGCTGAAAGTCGCTATCGAACCTTGGATGTCAGTTACACATCTTAGAACACTCTAACGGCGCACATGATGAACTTCTACAAAATCATCAAGTTAGCAAAGCCAAGAACGTGGACTTGCAAATAATCCATCATGTAAGCCAGATTTGGATAATTCTTTACAGTTCAGATCGTACTCGAGATTCTTGCAAACAGATATCGGAGCATGACACTGGTATTCATAAGCGTTTGGTACTAGTGATTCTGCTAAAAGTAACAAATACCCTCCAACTCGATGAGAGTAAAACTACCATAGACCTTACGATACACAGTCACAAGGGCCGTGATGACTGTGGATGCGAATATATTCCACAGGTTTGTAAATATGCACGATGTGTTTGCAAAGTTTATTACGGTACGTATCGACTGCGCCATGATTGACGTGGAACTCGCCAGTTTATTGTACTTTAACACTAGTTACTTGACTTGTTGGTATATTGGATTACAATAATGTCTAAACGTGACTGGTCCCCCTTCCCTAGCACACAAGATGTGGAACTTTGAACTTTACTATAAAGTCTTTCCGTCGGTAATGAAACGCGGGTTTGACATACTGGAAGAATTTGGAAAGGGTGACTATTAGTATTCGTTGCAGATTGTCTTTAGCTATCACTACCTCTTACACTTCTTTCGTCATAGACATGCCCGACAATGAATGCTTTGCAAATGTGCGGAAACAGCCAGTTGACGTTCTCGATAAGATCTTGTTGTCGAAAAGGTATGTTGATCTCCCTGTACCAATGCTAAGGAAACAAAACGAGATTTAACCCTAATCTGTTTCTAGGCAACACCGCATGCTGTGATGGTCGAACAGCATGACACTGATGAAACATTCGATATGAAATTCCTTTTACGATAAATCTACCGTTCAGATTATCCATACACATGGGTAGCTAGCGAGTACCGTTGGAACTGGTTAAGGAGTTGATCAGCACGGGATCACGAATGCCACCCTAGTTATAATCTCTGGGCTATAAGTACTCTAATTAGCTCATTGGAGAAACCCGTTACCGAGCGCGCCCATTTCAGACGCGACTGATTGAAAATCTACCCACCATCAAGAGATCGTTTTGCATACATGTGTCTGCAGTATGGTTTCTGATTCGTGTTCAGGAAATGCAGAGCATAGAAGCGAGTCAATGTGGGGCAGGTGAGGAACAATGACAAGGCGTTGAAGCATATTTGATATGAGCAATTAATATCTAGTTTGTTGTTTAGATCAGTCACGGTATGTCAATGGATAGCCCAGGTTCATTGTTGACTTTGTGAGGTTATTACTGTCACAGGACGAGAATGTCGGACAAAGCCGATGAAGAATTGGGCATTGTCTAGTCACAATGTTGACAATGTTTGCCACCCAACATGAATATTTGTAAGATGGTATGAATACACTGTGCCACAACAGTTGACAACTTGATTAAATCCTTCTCGGAAAACCAAAACAGAAATGAATTTCTTGGTTGCAAGTTACAGACGTAGAGCCGACTCGAATTGACAGTGTCTAATTACGCTATTTACAAGCAAACAGTTGATGACGACGACGGTGGTGTGGTGGTGGTTATGACGATAATGATGGTGACGACAACAACAATGGTTATAAAACAATGTTGCTCACTTGGATGTACGCTAAGACGTATGAGTTTGTGAGAATATATTCACTTCCAACACATAAGTGCAATAATGATGCCAGTCAAAACAGACGATATAAGAAATGACTCAAGAGTCGCAACGATTTCATAATTGGATTTACCAAATATGATGGTAACTATTACATGATTGCTTGGAGAGCGTTTTATCAGTATTATTGTCTTATTAGTTCTTCCAAGTAGGCGATTGATGACTATTGACGCAGGATAAATGCCTGGGTTATTGGAATCACTCAAGAGCCATTTACGCAAACAGCTTTAGCGGTCCACCGTGTGCGAATAAAGGGTTCCACTAAGTCAAGAGCCATCTACTCAAGCATATTATTTAGTTTATACCGTAGCAGTATATCGACTTGATAAATTAACAGATCGGGTGGTTACAGAACATTTCATGCTGCCAAATATAGAAATTCGAAAGTGAAATATATGACCAAAACGATGTACTAAAACGATTTGAGTCCTGATTAAAACGATATTTAATCTGACCCCATATTCATTAAATTTAATAGTTTAGAAATGTTCGTATTATGTTCCATTCTTTATGGACTTACACAAGACCCACAAAAGAGTACATGAATTTTATGCAATATGCTAATAATGCTTGAATAATTTAGCACGTTTGACAGGTATTGCAAGCTATCTGGGTACTATTCATCGTGCAGGAATTATAATCTCCGTGACGGAAACATAGTTATGCATGATATAAGTTTTTTGCGATTTCTCATGACCGGTGACTTTACGCGTCTTACCTTATATCACACCTCGCTGTGAATAGAAATTTCTCACGATCTACCTTACCTTGCACACCGGAAATCTTTCATACTCAAAAAACAAACGTGTATTATTGTGTATTTAATTGCTACTGACGAACCACTTTAAGAGATAGAGAATTAATGTGCATTAACTACGACCAACGATTCCTGATTCCGTACCAGAGTAATACAAGAAACTCGTGTCGTGACGCTAATCCCGATAAGCGTCTTGATTTTGAGTAATAATCGCATGCTTATTATAGTAAGAATGACGTGTAGCTTACCACTTCACGCCTCGAAAAGGAGACCAAATACTCTAGTAAACTCTTACCCACAGGAGATTTGCTTAAATTAAGAAATGATTATAAGATGTCAATTGAAGTTCAAGTACGAGGAGCATAGAGAGAGTTATTATAATATCATGTGTTATTAATTTTATGTTCGATATGTAAAGCCGAAAGCAATAAATTACGTAAACTATTGTCAAATAAATTCAGTGTTACTTTCCGCTATATATTTCCCACATTATTATAATGCGAAAATTTTTGCTATAAGTACCAACTAAATTATAATGTTCGGGGTTGGGTTTATCGACATGCTTTTAAAACGCAAAGTTTGTGAGAAATAAATACCTATTATTTAACATCGAGCTGGGGAGTAGCAATCTAATTAAGTAATTCTGTAGTACTGAGATAGAGTAGTTTTTCGGAGTGATAATTATTTTGCAGCTCTGCTGAATCTAAGTCCGAAACATTTAAGAATTTCTTTATACTAATTCACAGGTAGTTAGAATTGATTGTAAAAAATATACATGCATATAACTGAAGTTTAAAGTTTTCTAATAAAATCTAATTATTAGTTAATAAATTGACCTTTCTCTTATAATAATTGTGAGAAACATTGACTGTAAATAAAAAAACTTTTTATGTATTTTTTTTATAAAAGTACATTTCCAGCGTGTAAAGTCTGATTTAACTACTTCCGAATGAGTGGCTCTCCTAGTCGTTGTTAAATAAATAAAACAACTAGTAAATTTGACGTTGAGTTTTCCTATTCACAACTTTAACGTCGACGCCACTACCGCTGATAATTGATCTGTCTCCGAGTACGCAGATCTGTTCTCACCAGAAAGACTAGATTATTGGTTTACAATTAATGTTAATGTAATGTCTGAAGTGTGTTACGCTAAGAAATATATTTACGGTATATTTCTTGTTTGTTTTTTACTGTCTCGATTAGACATGAATTAGAAATACGTAGTCCAAAAGAGCAGCGCGTAACATATAAAAGTTTACGATAAACACAATTTTTTTGTACATTATTTTTGCGTTTCCGTTTTGTAAACTAAACCTAACATAAAAAATTACAGTATTTTTTGGGAAAGAGACAATTATGTATGACGTAAAAAACATAGATGCGTCAAAATAATAATTTAGACTATCAGAAACAACTAATGCTACCACAAAATTTACATTTACTTATTATTATACGTAAACTGCACAACGTATAGCGGCAGATATATAAGGTAGAGGGGGGTAATTTGGCGAAGTTAAAGTTCTTACTAAGTGAAAATTTTATTGAACCGTTTATAACTTTTGATATTCAGAGGTAATAAACTAGAACATATTTATAATAGATGCATACAAATAGAAAAGGG